CTCACACGTTGATCTCAATTATAGGCTTTAATTGTTCTTGTTGACTGCAGTAGCAGTTCTCTTGGATATGATTACTACTTGCGGTAGTTGTGCTCCTTCTCCAGGAAACACAGACTGGCATTTTAGCCTCTCAAGAGCCCCGTGAAATGGGTGAAGTAGAGAGCAACTTTCCCAAGGTCACCCCCCTCCCTGAGCTTCATGGCTGACATTATGACTTTTAACAAGTTGGGTTTGGCTTCCCCAGGCATGGCGTGTTTCCTATAGTCATACAGGAGCTGTGGGGAACTACCTTTTAAGGACATGTGGGGGTCTGATTCTGCTCCCCTGTACTGTTTTCTGGAACTGGAATGGATCCGTGGGTCTTATTTGGCCCATTTTGGACTACTATATATATGTGTGCCTCCAAAATGGGGCACTGGGGATATTTTGGCTTGGGACAATGAAGTGGGGAAAGCAAGCCCCCCCTTCTGCTGTGTTGCAGTTGCAAGTGGAATTGGGCCCCTGTGACTCTTTAAAAGACAGTTACCAATAGCTCCTTTGCAAATGTGGGGAACTCAAATTGGAACAAGGGCCCAACTCATTAAAAGTCAAAACATCTACTTTTGCTACTTTGCTCCTGAGCAACTGTTGAAAAATGGGTATCCCACTTCCAGGCTCTGTCACCAGAGTTATTACACCTCACTGCTGGTTTGTTGTGGCTTGACCTAAAAACATGATAGTGGCAAAGCAAAAGCACACTCTAACAGACTTTGCGCTCATACAGCACCTTGTTTATACGGGCTGTTTTCTGTCCAAATTAGCTGTAATCACATCACACTGGAGACTAGGCATATGTGATTTGCATAGGTAGCATGAGATACTTTGTGAGTACACAGTCCTGCATGAAAATGCATTTTTCCTCTGTTAGCATCACAAATCAGGTCTGTATTGCCTTTGCCTGGTTGAATAGTGTCTGTTTGGACATCTGTATCCTAATGGGGAGGGGACCCTACCAGGTGCAGCTTCCTAGCATGTGTTCTCCAATGTCAAGGGAATAGAGATGTATGTTGACCAAGATTGCTACATTTACTCCAGCCATTTTCCTTCCCAGTGATCCTCTCAGAACAGATTGCAGGGTCATCTCAGATAGTATACACTTGAAAAACACCCCTTGTCAAAACATTGGATGTTAACACTGTTATACTTTGATAAACAAGAAAGATTTCTACACTCTTTAGTTTTAATGGCTTTGTGATAGCGAATCATTAAGCATCCCATTGTCTATTTGAAAGCACTGACCCTGATCACTGGAATCTTTTTTGCAGGAAATAAGAGTGGTCACTGTATAAAAAGTACTTTTGCCACAGGAGAGCCAGTTTGGTGTAGTGGTTATGAGTGGAGGACTCTAACCTGGAGAACTGCGTTAGATTCCCCACTCCTCCACATGAAACCAGCTGGGTGACCTTGGGCCAGTCACAGTTCTTTCAGAGCTCTCTCTGCCCCTAAAACAAGTCTAACTCGCCATGTACTAAGCTAAGAGCAAGAACTTGTGGCTGTCAGACAATCCTAGGATCTCCTGGCTATTCTCCACACAGTGCCATACAATAATAACTATTATCATTACTTTTGCCATGTGTCCATATAGAACATTAAGCAAAATGCTTCTTTTGAGAACCACTTTGGAAGGGGACCTCCCTCTTTATCAACCAGCTTTCCTTTGGTTCATTCTCTTATGCAATTTTCCTTTCCCCCCTCTTCCAGTGGATTTCTTATATGCCATGACTTTTTATCTGTATTCTTCCCATTCTGCTGTCCTTACTGGCATGCAGAATTCATTGCTTGAGGTAGCCCTCTTGCCTTGCCATGCTAGAGCTGTTTCTGGCTCCTTCCATGTTCAGCCTGGTTAATACCAATCTGTTGCCACGTGATTGTGACACTGGAACCTCTGGCTGTGTGAACTTGCCTTGAAATGTGCCGTAGGACAACTGCGTGTTTGGAGCTGTCCAGCCAGCTGGCCTTCATATACAAGGTTTTGGTCATAGTTCTATTGCTAATGCTAAGAGCTGTTTTTAGGTGTTCAGAAATACCTCGAAAGCCCCAGTAGGACAGCAGCAATTTAAAATCTGTAGAAGAAGCCATGGTAATAGAATAAAAACATTGTGTTAATTCTGAGTGTGACAAACCCTATGGACTATATCAGGAGAGGATTGCGACGCCTCTGTTTTGCATGATCCTCAGTTCTTTGATTGTAGCTACATTTCTGTCAATTTCTGTGTGATTACTTGAATAAGAAGAAGTTTGCAAAATCTAGCAAAGACATGTATATTGTCAGTGAATATTTCCAGTTTGAAGGACATTTGTGTAGATAATGGAAGTCTTCAGGGATGAATGTCGCAGTGCATAATGGTGGCAAAGTTTTGGGAGTCCTGTTTAAAAAAAGGTAAAGGTTCCCTTGCTCGAAAGCCAGTCGAGTCCGACTCTAGGGTTGCGGTGCTCATCTCCGTTTCAAAGCCGAAGAGCCTGCGCTGTCCGAAGACGTTTCCATGGTCATGTGGCCAGCATGACTAAACACCAAGGCGCACGGAACACTGTTACCTTCCCACTGACGTGGTACCTATTTATCTACTTGCAATTTCTTGCTTTCGAACTGCTAGGTTGGCAGGAGCTGGAACTAGAGACGGGAGCTCACTCCGTCATGCGGCAACTTGGGTCTCGAACTGCTGAACTACTGGCCTTCCACAGCCTGCAGTTCAGCATCTTAACCACTTGAGCCACGGCAGCTCCGAGTAGTGGATGGTTATTCTGTGACTGTTGCTCATATTTAACAATGAATTTGTTTGAAGTATCTTATCCATTCAGACTTGTTCGGAATTCTCGAAATCACTGCCATCTTCAGCCCCTTCTGCATTGTAAAGAACATGATTCTCCAACTGTTATTTGGAATCCTTGGAAATCTGTTTTTGGAGGAGATACATAGACCACCCTTTTTCAAATAATTAAATATTATGCTTTTATCTGAGGTCTTCCTAGACCCTTCTGCTTGTAGACTAGAACTTGGATCTCTTTCACACGAAACATTCTTCCTTCCTTCCTTCCTTCCTTCCTTCCTTCCTTCCTTCCTTCCTTCCTTCCTTCCTTCCTGTAGCTGGTTTCCCACTTGGTGGTGACTGAGATTCCTCTTCATTCACCCTATAGTCAACTGAAGTATTTAACACAGACCTATCATCAAATAAGCCTATTTCATATTGTATACCCTTTTGAACCACATTATTTTTCATATGCTTAACATTGGAGAATGTGCTTATTCCCTTTGGCTCAAGTCTGAGGTTGTCCTCCAATTTAAGTAGGCCTTCTGTTGGAGGCAGAGCTACTTTAAGTTGGAGGAAGGTTCCTTGGAGGATGGTCAAATCCACCGTAAGTTCTCTAGCCTGTTTCGTGTTTTAAGATATTTCACTGTGTGACTTCAGAGTTCTAAAAATTTAGATGTTGAGAAGTATGTCTGCAGAATCTCCAGCCCTTGCAGGATTATTTTGGAATAAACATGGGGCATGTACAAGAACAGAAGAACTGTATTCATTGTCTGGTAATGGATTCTCTGGGGAATTGAGAGCTTTTGCATGAAGGTCTCAATCATTTAACTGTGTTCTCTGTGCAGTAGGATTTGGCATGTTTTGGCCCATCCCATCACTGGGGTGTGGCCATGAAAGAGACTTGCTTATTCATGCTGCAAAGAAATAATTAGTAACTGGACTGAGCGAAGCTGCCCATCCTCAGAATCTCGGAGGCTAGCAAAGCCAGTTAGCCAAGCTGATATCTGATCCTCTGAGGAGGGCATGTCCACAACAGGGCTCTTCTGTAGCTGCTGATTATGGAGGGGCACTTTATCACTCTCCTTTCAAAGAGCTTTATAAAGCTGGCTTGCTTTTGGAATGTGGTATTTAATTGTCTTTTCCTCTCACTAGAAGAGGAGAGTGCTCAGTTTGCAACAGTGGGGGATCTTTATTTCTGGCACGGGGGAACTAGAAGAAGGCTGATCTTGTGACAGGGCATGAATCATTGACTTGTTGGCTGTTCTGATGCCCTAGGCAGTCATGTCTTTCTATGCAGTCTGCTTTGGCTCCCATATTTCCCAGATGGGGTGGTGATTCTGACTCTTTTGGGAGCCAGCATGGCATAGGGGTTAGAGTGTCTGACGTGGGTTTGGGAGACCCAGTTTCAAATCTCCACTCTGCCAAATCATTCTCTCTCTCAACTTAAACGGCTTGAACCAGGTTGTTGTGAGGATATGATGCAGGAGGGGAGAACGTTGTAAGTCATTCTGGGGATGTCAGGCTAGTGATCTGTCCAGTCCAGCTCTGTTGTCTCTGACTGGCAGTGGGTCTTGAGCTCAGTTCTCCGAGGCCTTTCACAAGGAAGTTCTTCCCTGACTGTCCCACCTTAGATCTATTAAGCAAGCACTTGGAAGCAAAAAACAAAAAAATGTTGCTTGTAACTAGTGTAGTGGCTTTTCACTGGTATAAATAGTCAAGAGTGGAGCAGTTGAGAGGCATCAGCAGTTGTATCTGCTGTGCTCAGCTGACGTTATGCCCATGCTGGCAGTCAGTGGGCCTTACTTTCAAAAAGTAGAAGATGAGATTATGTCACTAGATTGGCTTTGTCTGAGGTTTTTTAATGTTTAGTATGGGGCCTTGTTCGTGATGTGATGCTGTAGCATGAATAAAGGGATAAAGAATGATAGTGTGAAGTCTACATTTCAAATGCTTTGTAGGCTTCCTCTCAGCCCAGCACAGCTTCAGGTTATATCCCTGGGAACAAAACATAAACTGAACGGTGTCTTAACCACCTGGTGGTTGAGTGGAACACCAAAGGGGAATGAGGCTGTATATGCTGTGGGTCCTTTCTTTTCACTGGAGCGTCTACATTTGTCTCTTCTTCTTCTTTTTTAATAAGTTTATTTATCATTTTCTACATTCTTCTGAGTGGCTGAAATTCTTGAACTTTTTGCCTTTTTCTTTCAGGGTTCAGGAGTAGTAAAGGCTGGTTTTGCTGGAGATCAGATCCCAAAATATTGCTTCCCGAACTAGTAAGTATAGACACTAAATAGTTTCTTTGTCTCTTTGATAAAAAGGTGTGGAGAATAAGGTTGTGTTGGACCAGGATTTTTGGTTGCTAGAATCCTAATCCTCAAGATGCACATGTGTCCTGCAGCATCCATAGACAACCACTTTTGTTTCTCTTGCTAGTGTGGGTCGTCCGAAGCATGTCCGGGTCATGGCTGGGGCATTAGAAGGAGATCTCTTCATTGGACCTAAGGCAGAGGTAATCCCCCCCCCCATTTTAAATTTTTTATTATCTTGTGGTTCAGACAAAAATAGTCTCACCAAGCAACTAATCATTGTTAAAACTCAAAGTACAATGCTATGGGCAGGTGCCATACACAAAGATGATGCAGGATTCAAATCGAAGGATAGTCAAATGAAGGGAGTGGGAAATAAGGTAGGGGAGGCAGATCATTTTTGACAGCATCACAATAAAGTGGTGAGTTGCTAATAGACATTTGCGTTCAGGTGAGGCCAAGCCTATTTCCCCCTATTGAAATACTTGCTGGGATGCTGGTGGTGCAACTATCTGCCAGTCCGTGTTCTCCTGGCTGGTGGCAGAAGCCATCTCTTACCTGCTGCAGGCTCAGGGCAACTGTGTGTGTTGCCTTTGTTTGGGTGCCGCCAAGTCTTTTATAAGCGTTCATCATTTAATTGAGCTGCACCCTGGAACTCTGGATTTCTTCCAGAGGTGTGAGATGCCTGGCGAATCTGCCTTCACTGGATCTGTCCCCCCATATCTTCTCCTTCAGTGAACTGGTCTCTCCTGCTGATCTATATAGCCCTCTTGTTCTATGTGAAGGCAGTTCCAGAACTCCCAGTATACTTGTGCCTGAGCCATTATGGCATTGGGCGTGTCAGTTAGTCTTTCAATTTATCCATCTGTATATTGGGCTGTTGCTTCTGCTATGAAGAAGTATTTACTGGCAGCTGGGAAATGCAGCTGCCCACTGGCTTTCTACAGGCCATCAAGGCATCTGATGCCTAAATATGCTTGATACTTTGTTAGAAGTTGAAGGAAGCCCACAGTAATGAAGTGACTCGATTGGATTGCACATCCCTTGTTGCATTAGGAATTTGTGGTGGCATGCTGGCTTCCCTGGCGAGCTCCTGGCAGTTTGAGTGTAGCAGCTTTCCCATGCTATTCTGAGCTCTCAAATCTGTTCTGGATAACAACCAAGTCTTTCTGCCCACCCTTTTTGTCAAGTCCAGTTTTTGCTGGATGTAAAATGTCGCTTCCTTTTCTCATTTAGGTAGGGCTTAAGTGGTGGCTTCTGTATACTGACCCCATTGTTGTGAATGCATTACTCTTTGTCCTATAGGAGCATAGGGGGCTGTTGTCCATCCGGTACCCCATGGAACACGGTATTGTTCGGGACTGGAATGACATGGAGAGGATCTGGCAGTATGTTTATTCCAAAGATCAGTTGCAGACATTCTCAGAAGAGGTAATAATCCCTCCTTTTGCTTTGGGGTTCTTTTGCTTTGTGCGGGCTTTTCAAGTGAAAAAACTGCTGGGCTGTCTAGACCTTGGAAGGAGAGATGATGAGCTTAAGGGTCTTTTGCTGCCAGCAGGGATGATGGTTGTGGTTTCTTTCATCAGATATGATGGAGGTCCCCCATCCTTGTGCATGTGTGCCTGGCAGGGATCCCCAACTCTTTAACAATCCTAGACAATGATCTTGCCTAGTCAAAGGGGACTTGCATGGTTTGGAACCAAAGTGGCTTTAGGAGTGTGTTCTCATGTATATACACACACACACACCATGCATGTTCACAGTATTATTGTTAAGGAGGTCTGCTCGAACATTGAAATCCAGCATTTTCTGTAGTAGCAAACAAACTGTGTAACTCTTTTCTTCCAAACAAATTGTGCAACTTTTTTCTCCTACTGGACGTTCGACTGGCTGCACCAGAGTGCATTTTTAAGAAGCGTGTCAAAATGTTCCTATTTCATTAGGAAGTTATCCTGAAAAAGAATAATAGTGTTTTTTGCTGGGTTTATGTGTGTGTCTCTCTCTTTCTCAGGTATGAGAACTGGATTTTGGAGTTTTTTATTTTCCCTGCTTTATACTTTGTGGTTCTAGCCATTTTTTTAAAATGATGTGTGGAAAAGCTGTATAGGTAGCTGAATAAGTGAATGAACCCGCCCCATCATGACAAAGAAGACTCTAGCCTCTCCTTGAGAGGATATTATAAGGGTCAAGCTTTTAATTGCTTATTTGACAATGGGGACCAGAGGACTGTTGGGCAGGGGAATTGCCCAATCCTCCTTACTAAACCAGGCAGAAATCAGTTTGCATTAGAAGTGAGAGGCTCCAGAGCCTTCTGGTTGTTCCAGCCTCCTGTAATAGTTGGGGTTTTTGCATAAGAACTCTGGCCCCCTCCAGAGCTGTACCTGATCATACTGTAGCTGGAGAAGGGTAATTGCTATGAAGCACAGCCGAACTTCTCAAACACTTTATGAATGGATGTGTTTCTTTTTTTAAAATTCAGCTTTCAGTGCTTGTGTAAGTTGAACAAGCAAACAGTTCACACACAAACACACACACACACACCCCGTGCATGCAGTTGCCTTCCTGGGTTAGACTGGACTGAAGTAGGCATGATGGGAAGGAGTAACAAGACCTGTATGTCATCCTCTCCCCCTCCTTTCTCTTCCAGCATCCTGTTCTCCTGACAGAAGCCCCTCTAAATCCCAGCAAAAACCGGGAGAAGGCTGCTGAAGTTTTTTTTGAGACCTTCAATGTTCCAGCTCTCTTCATCTCCATGCAAGCTGTCCTCAGTCTGTAAGTATTTAGTTGCTGAAAAGGTGAGTGTGTGTGGGGAGATAAAGTGGTACCCTTTCTTGCTATCAAGCTGGCCCTGACAACCGCTTAAATGCAGTTGGCCTGTATGCTTGCTTCAAGGAATCGCTCAGCAACTTCAGGAAGTGTCAGTGACTTACGAAGAGGCACACTCTTTGTTACTGCTGACACCAGTGGCCAGCAAACTGCAGAGAATGCTTTCTTTTGCTGCTTGCCAAATATTGTGATATTGAGCCCCTGTTCCCAGGGGTGGGGGATGCTTTGTCTTTAATTGTATTATCTCCCCAACCCTCTGCTCTGTATTCTGTGCCAAAAGATTTAGGCATTATAACCGTAGATTTGTAACTTGGTCCCTGGAAAGCTAAAGTGTGATTATTACTGACAGATGCTGACTACAAGATATGTCTGGTGTAGTTTGTTTGGTATTTCTCTTTTGTTTGGCAAGGAATTGAATAGTGGTGAAGGGTGGCAGGAATGTTGGGCAGAGAGCACTTGGCAGATGATTGGGATTTATTTCTTGATTTTCACTAATCTGTTCAGGATAGGATTCCCAAGTACTTACCGTGATCCGGTGGGGGAAACATGCTCCCCGGCCGGACCATTCCTCCCTGTAACACACCATGCCGTCGCCAGGAAGTGATGCTGGGCGACGCTCTGGCAATGGGACTGAAAACTTGATGGTACCATCGAGTTTCCAGCCCCATTGCCAGAGCGTCGCCCGGCGTCACTTCCTGGCGATGGCATGGTGCAGCGCGTCTGTTGTCCCCACAGGAATGATCCTGCGAGGACGTTTGTGTCCCCCGCTGAATCATGCTAAGTACTTGGGAAGCCTGGTTCAGGAATTGACATGGATTAGTTTAGCCTGTTTGATTATATGAGTCCGTGAGTTCCTGAAAGTCGGGCTGCCATTTATGTATCCTGTTGCAAGCCTTGCCAGGTTCTGTTAACTGCTCTACCCTGGTGAGGTTCCTTCAGGCTTACTGGAATTGTGTTTTTTCCAGTTGTTTCCTGAGCCTAGTCCTTTGACGGTGCTTTGGAAGGTGGTTTTGTAACTAACAAATGTCCTTCTTGCCTCCCTCTGCTCACCTACAGTTACGCCACAGGCCGCACTACAGGAGTGGTGCTCGATGCAGGGGATGGAGTGACACATGCGGTACCCATCTATGAGGGTTTTGCTATGCCCCACTCGATCATGCGGGTTGACATTGCTGGGCGGGATGTTTCCCGTTACCTCCGCCTGCTGCTACGAAAAGAAGGCTATGACTTCCACACCTCAGCTGAGTTTGAAGTGGTCAAGACAATAAAAGAGGTAAGAGTAGGGTAGCTGGATGTATCTCTGTGAGGAGGCTCTTGCCACAGACCTACCTCGTCTTTTTTAACTTCTAGAGTTTCAAGAAGGAATTTTGGGATGGTAAATAGAGCACTATGCTAGAACCATGGACCACTGGAATTTGAACCCCAGGTGGCTATTTGTAAGGTTTGGGAGGGAGGGGCCCCCTAACCTGGCAAGCTGTCTGTCTGCGACCACAACTTCTACCAAGTTCTTGCAAGAGTAGTTGTTCCTGTGAGAGCTCAAAGCCCTACCACGTTCCCCCACTAGTTCCTCTTTGTAATCCTGTGTCTGGGCAGCTGACTGGCAGAGTATATTCTGGTCCCAGTGCTGTAGTGTAACTACTGTGCCTCCCTTTGGACAGCATCCCCCCATCATTGACCCCCCCCCCCCGAGCTGGTGTCAACTGGGAGTAAGGAGTCTGCACCCTCAAACAGCCGTACCATGCTATCTAAGCACTTCTGCTTAAAAGTGTTCTGCTGTTGTTCAGGGAAGCTCATGGAATCAAATAGTCTCATGTATCTGAAAGAGGGTGTGAATGAGCAGAGGAATGTGAATCTAGTCAGCTGAGATGATGTTAAGTACAGTGGTTCTTAAAACTCTGATCTTTAGGGCATTTCCAAACTGCTGACAGGCTAGTGGTTTCTTTTGAAGTTTCCACTACATACTGGAGAGGCAAGCAGCTTTATTTCTTAGCTTACATGTAAAGCTTCAAAACCACTTGCTTGGCAGCACAAACACAGCTGCAGTGGAACCTCAAAGAACCCCTCTGCTGTGTGCTGTGTGCATGCGTTCCCTTCCAGCACTCTTCTGGTTTTGTGGAACTGTGGCCACAGAGGGGGAAATGCAGCAGCCGAGTTTGAATTAGAAAGTTCTTGAAAAGCAATTTCCAAAGATGCTGTCTGTAATAACTAGCTTAAAAATGGTGGCAATCTGTTATTTAGTGGATGCTGAGGATCATAATACTGAGCAGAATGAGGAAATGAGCATGAATGATCCTCACCTCAAGTCCCTGCAGAGATCATTGTGCCCAGAGTGTCACATATCTATCCCTCATTGGATAGCAGGCAGTCTGTGTCACAGGGCAGTCCTTTCAATCTGTTTGGTTTTTGTGGTCCTGTGTCCATTGATTCTCTTCTGGCTGGTGTCTTGACTGTCTGTCTTCCTTCCTTCTCTCTTTCTCTTGTTTCTTTCTTAAATTACTTCTATTCTGATTGTCACCAACGAACATCAGCTCCTTGGCCTTTCCCCTCACATTCTGTGCCCTTCCCTTCTCTTGCCCCACATTCTACAGCCTCCCAAGGAGAGGCACGGGATAAGCAAATCAGGACAGTGCTCCTGAGAGGTGCAACACAGTTTAAGGATCTTGTACTCCTAAGCAATAGCACAGTGATTGAGAACACTGCAGTTTTGGAATGGGCTTCTGATAAGGGATTGTACATATCTTATGCATGAGGCATTGATGGCATGGTAGATATTCGCATAGGGGAGGGCTAACAGAACCATTGGCTTGCTAGGATTTTCTGCAGCAAATAATTTTCAGTATCCAGCCTGGTTGTCTCACATGCTGCCTTTTCACCCCGTAGAGAGCTTGCTACTTGTCCATCAATCCCCAGAAGGACGAGGCTCTGGAGACGGAGAAGGTGCAATACACACTGCCTGATGGGAGCACTTTGGATGTAAGTTTCTGCACTAGAAAGTGGTTCTTTCTTCTAGGAGGTGACACTGAGAACATAGAGGCTGGGAGTTCCTTCACAAACACATTTGCAGTGGTGAGAGTCATCATCATAATCAGAAAAGCTTTGGGAGTTTTCTTGTTGTGTTCATATGTTGGCATACAAAACAAACACATAGTAGGTTCCAAACTTTTGCAGCCACATGGGTCTGTTTGTAGCCATGGAACAGTGCGCCCTCCACACACAAATCATGCTTGCAAATGCTGTAGTAAGTGAGCCAAGTGCCAAGAGGACCTTGTTGGAGTTGAACTGTCCCTTGTACTTCATTAAATGTCATTGTTGCTCTCTTGGCAGGTCGGTCCATCCCGATTCCGAGCTCCTGAGCTGCTCTTCCAGCCAGACCTAATAGGAGACGAAAGCGAAGGAATCCATGAAGTGCTCGCATTTGCCATCCAGAAATCTGACATGGACCTGAGGAGGACGCTGTTTGCGAACATTGTCCTGTCTGGGGGGTCTACACTTTTTAAAGGTATGATGCTCCTGAAAGTTGGCAGCATCTGGAGGTAGAAAGCTTGTCTGTGAGTTTGGAAAAAGGTGTAAAACACAAGAGGCTGCCTTGTTCCAAGAAATGAAAAGGAGACTTCAAAAGATGAACTTCAATCAGGCTCAAGGCGCTTGAGTTAGAAAACTTCTTTTCAGAGGTGACTCTTAAAAATACAGTCCCCCTAACACAGTGTTGTAAGCCCAGTTATGAACATTCCTGTACTGTTCTTATGTTAAAATTATATAAAAATTACCATCAAAGGAATGATAAGAACATAAGAACTTAAGATAAGCCATGTTGGATCAGGCCAGTGGCCGATCCGGTCCAGCACTCTGTGTCACACAGTGGCCAAAACCCAGGTGCCATCAGGAGGTCTACCAGTGGGGCCAGAAGATGATGCAGCAGAGCCTCAAAAAGAGACATATTAGGCAACACAAAACAATTTAATGAGTAATACAAGATGTAAATTTAATCTTATTTCTTTTTTTTTAGAACAGCAACACATTAATTGATGACAAATATTTGCAAATATGAAACGCCTTTCTCCTCTGGTTGAGATCTAGGGATGTTGCCCATCAGATCCCACCTGGGATTCCTTTTAACTGGGAAGTGCTAGGATTTGAGCCTGGGATCCTTTATATATGCAAAACTTGTGTTGCACCAGTGATACAATGGCATCTCTATAGGAGGAGGAGGAGCTGACATTGGAGGCTGAAATACTGAAAGGAGGTCTTTCTCTATGCCTCCTTGTGCTTTCCTGTTTTGTGTAGCAGCTGAGATGAGGCCTAGTGTTTTAAACCCTACAATCTGGTGCCATGCTTTGGGCCAGAGCATTAATTGAGAAAGTTTTTTTCCTGCTTAGACATTATTAGGAAGGGCTTTTTCCTGGCCCCATTAAGAACCACCTCTGTCCTGAAAAAGGTATGATAACCAGTCATAAAAACATCATGATGTGGGTGGCCTTCTTGGGTGCTCCATGCAAAGTGAGAATGGCAGCACTGTTGGCAAGGTGAGGCCATTGAAAGCCTTAGGGGCCCTGGCAGATACCTGACCTCAACATGCTCTACACTATAGCTAAAGTGGTCTAGGTCCATACATCAGAAAATGGGTATATGGAACTCCTTCATGTCTCCAGTGGAGCCCAGATTAACAACCTAAAGCAAGTGGCTCTTGGACTTTTTCATAATGGACCAGATTGTGTTCGCCTGCAATGTACTCTCCGAGAGAAAAGGTTTCTCATGGGAGATAACTGTCCAGCATCAGAATTGTTGGGCATGGCATGCAGATTGAACATAAGGAGCCTGTTTGTGCAGAGTAGAGCCTTGGGTCCCTTCTCAGCTATTAATTTCTAAATGTGGTAGCAGCTTTGCAACCAAGAAAAGTCTTTCCCAACATCTTCACCGCCCCCCCCCCCCAATACTTTAGGTGCTGCCTTGTTGCTTTCTTCTTTGGGCAAAGTGTGTATAAAAAGTGAGTGGAGATGCTGAGTGAGTATCTAAACGAAATGATCCCCCAGCTCCTGTAAACCAGCCTTTTGGCTGTAAGAGAATTGTTATACAATAAGCCAAGGAAAATGCAGTTTCTAAATGTAACAGCAGAGGGTAGAGTTCCCATATAATACCACCTCTGCTGGTTGAAAGCACAGTCCTGCCTTTCACTCACTTTGTATTTCAGGAAAATACTGGTCCTTTCCGCACTAGACCTTAAATCCTGGTTCAACTCTGTCCCCGAACTTACATTCTACACTACACATGCTTACATTCTACACTACACACGTGAGTTCACCCCTGTAATTATCTCGGTGTATTTTTACATTATACACTACACTCGAGTTTACCCCTGTAATTATCTTGGGGTATTTTTGGTTTCCACATTACATTGAGGTCACCCCAGTTTTGCCCCACACTTGTCCCGGGATAAATGGATGCTGTTATAACCAGGGATAAATGCAAGGTTATTGTGTCATGAGTGGAACTCTGATAAAACCAGGGATAAGATCCAAGTGCGGAAAGGACCACTGTCTGCAGGGATGGTCTTGACTCCATGGGACATCCAGGACAGCTGGCCTGGCCTGGGTCGGCCCCTGACTGCCCATGGCCCTGCTCTGCATGGAGGGGAATAGAAGCAGCTGGCCACTATGCATCTGCCCTTTCCAGGGCTTGTGTTGTTGGTGGCCTATCCGCCCACCTTTCTTGAGCCCAAGCAGGGTGGGGTGAACCCAGGGGCAGTGATTGTGGGACCTCATCCTGGACTTTTTTCACAAGGCCCCAGAATCACTAAGACTGCCCTGACTGCCTGAGTGTTTCTTTGCCTTTTGGAAGGCAAGAATCTGAGGCTGAAACAAACCCAGCAGGCTCAGCTTTTTTATCTACTGTTGAATCCACATTTAGAATCCACCTATTAAGGAAGCAGGAGGAAAAAATCCTTAGATGCTGGGTTGTAAATGAACACCTGGATTGAAGAGATGCTGAAAATCTGATGTGGTTAGCCTTTTCTGTGAGTGTTACGGAAATAGTTAATTTATGCCTGAGGTATTGAGGCATGCCTCTTGAAAGCCTCAGGGTACCTGATAGCTTTGACCACTTGGATCATGGTACAGTGTTCCTAATTCTGCCAACTTCTTTGTGTCTATTCCGTAAGGCTTTGGGGACCGACTGCTCAGTGAAGTGAAGAAACTGGCTCCAAAAGATGTAAAAATTAAGGTAAGGAGATGAAGGAATTCCAGGCCTATTCTCACTTTAAGTTAATATGCAAATCTGTGCACCCCTCTTAGAGGATAATGCCTGTTTGCAAAACCTCTGCGGGATCTTTGTGTTTGCATGTCTGAGTGCTCCTACAGTTTTGATCTTAACAGAGAATGGGGGTCACATTAAGGAAAAGGACAACATTGACAGCCCCCTTATGTGTTGTGTTTGGTTTGGGATTTCAGTTGAGCTTTTGGTGGTGCATTTTTAATTGTCTGTTTATTTTACTTTTCCTAATGGTTTACAGAAAGGAACAAAAGGCATGAGCTAACGATGCAAAACAATACAGGAACAAATCAAAGACCATAAATAAACACAAAATAACAAAATTTGGTGACTGTTACGGAAATAGTTAATTTATGCCTGAGGTATTGAGGCATGCCTCTTGAAAGCTCTGCATTTCACACTCCCTCAACCCAAGGGGAAAAAAATTCCAATCTTTGTACATTTTTTTTAAATGGAGCCAAGTAGGCAACAGGGGAGCAGTTCGTGTATTGACATGGGGCGAGATGGGTGGAATGAATCATGTCCTTTGAAATCACATGTAGTTGTGATCTGGTTTCCAAACCACTTTCTATTTACTTGCTTGATAACCATGAAACTTGAAATTTGCCGCTGCTTAGAATGAAACTTGAATCTCTGGCTTCTATGGAAACGTGTAGAGTTGTTGTCGGAGGACTTAATATGACTTGCATGATCTGCTTTGAGTCCCATTGATCAGGAGAAAAGTGGGATATAAATGTTTTAAATATCTACACACTTGGATGGTGGTACATGCTGAAGCATCTCAGTTGTAGTAAGGGCATCCTGTAGGGCTTGGCTACACTAGCAATAGTGGAAGAAGGAGCCTGGTTGTTCCACCCAGAAAACCAGTTGCTTTAGTGCAGGGCTAACTGCAGCATCTAGACTTTTGTGGTGTTCCTGGCCCACATCTCTGACTTGTGTTTTTCCTCCTTGCAGATCTCAGCTCCTCAGGAGAGGTTATACTCTACGTGGATTGGGTAAGAAGATCCCCAGCAGTTTCCCATCCATAGTACCTAGCAGTATAAGCTCCAGTGGAGCAGTAATGGGGTCCAGCTGTATAATTCCTACACAGCTGTCCAAAAATTGAGGGACGTGTAATGGTTGGCATTTTTCATCTTTCTGTAGTATTCCACCACAGACAAGTATTTGGTGGGGGTGGCTCCTTCTCCCCTTAGCTGAGGAAGTTCTCCTGTGCTGGGCTGGCTTCAGAATACAGGCTGATCAAAAATTCCTGTTGGGATTTCCATAGAAACAGAATCTAGGTTTGATGTGCTAAGAGTTGTGATGATAAGGCAGCCCATATGCCGTTGCTTCTCTAGAAGGAAATAGCTGATTGTGTGTTGGCAGAGATCATTGTCTTGCAGGAGGTATACACCTCATTGCTTTTTCACTCTCTGACCTTTCTCTCTCTCTCTCTCTCTCTCTCTCTCCCCCCTTCCCCCCCTCCCTCTCTGACAGTGGCTCTATTCTGGCCTCCCTGGACACTTTTAAGAAGATGTGGGTGTCCAAGAAGGAGTACGAGGAGGACGGGTCACGGGCCATTCATCGGAAGACCTTCTAGGGTGGGGTGGGGGGTGGCGGCAAAGCAGCTGGTGTCCTTGGGCGACTCATCCAGGTTGTGTCTTTTCTCTCTTAACCCTTTCCTGTCCAGGGCTGCTCCCTCCTTGTTGGTTGGGGCCAATTCCTGCCTTCCTCCTGGGCCTCATGCTTACCTGTCTTAGTGCCCTGTCCACTGCATGTTGCTAGCATGTGCCCCTTGGGTGGGAGGCACAGCTGTATTTTTGAGGCCTTGGCTGTGGTGGAGGAGGGCAGTGGCCCCAGCCAGGAAAGGAACTCAAGGCTCCATTCTTCTTCCTGGCCTGTTCCACAGGAAAAGCACCATGTAATCTGTAACACTGATGCTCTTTGTACCAGCTGGTAGGAAAGCTGCTTCATGCCTGTTATATCCTGTGAGACAGAGGCCTGCATGGGCTTCAGTGTGATGGAGAATTCTTGGAAGGCTGCATCTGGCAAAGAATAATGAATCTGTAGATGCGGCTGCCTGTGGCAGCTGCATTGAGTGCTTAAGCCATAGCACAGGAGTTGTCCTAGATCCAGCATCTCTCTCTCTCTCTCAGCCTGTTGCATCTAAACATGGCCCTGCTTATATGGCAGGCAGCTAGCCACACTAAGCATTCTTCAGCTGGCCTATGAGTGGGACCCAGCCTCTGGGCCTTTCAGTGCTGTTGGTGCCAAGGTTCTCAACAGCAGCTGAAGAACTACCTTAGCACAAGCCCCCACCTTCCCCCATCCATCTAATCATAGTGAAAGAGAAAGGGCCAGTCCCTTGATGGACAGTGTGCTTAATCAAAGCTTCACTACGGTTGCTGCGCAAAGGTGTTCTCTTCCTTCCTGTGGTCTAACCACACAGGGGACTAATGCTGTTTACATTAATGCTGTCAGTCTAGGCTTGTGAATTTCATAGGGGGAGGGGTAAGATCTAGAGATTTCTCTGGTGGTCAGAGAAGCTCTGGGTAGCTTTCAAAACTGCTGCTGGGCCTAGCCAGACATTTCTTATGCATTAGTTCTGTCTCTCCCCCCTCCCCTTTTTTTGAGGGTTTCAGAGGCTGGTGCTTTACTGCTGAGACATTCCTGTGTTGGATAAAATAGTGTGGCTGTGACACCTGGCACCAATCCCCCCCCCCCAACCTCTTTTCCCTTCCTCTGAGAATGGTTTCTCAGACCAGTGGCACTTCTTTGGTTAATGCCAAGCTGGTTGTGATGGTGGCAGCCATGCTTGGTAAGGACTGAACACCTCTGCCACTTTACCAACTCCTGCTCCATCTCGTCAGGCACTTTATTCGCAAAGCTGGACTGGGAGGGTGGGGGAGGGGCCCAAAACAAGTTTGTGTGGCCAGCCAGGGGCAGATAAAGTGGCAGGGGAAAGTTCAGCTCATGTTGCCCACATAACTTTAGATCTAAACAGGCAACTCCCCCCTCCCTTCCACTTAAAAGATGAACAAGGTACATGTTAGCAAACCCTGTGGTTGTCCCTGTGGGAGCTCATTTGGCTTAGTTTGTTTAAGCAAGAGAGTTTCCCTTCTGCTGTTGGGAGCAACAGAGGTGCTTTCTCTGTTCCTGTCTAAGCTCTGTGCCCTATATCAACCACTTCCTTCCAGGCAGTTTGGGTAGTGCTTTCTTGCGCAGTGATGACCGTGGCCATAATCTGCCTCTCTGTTTTTTAACACACATCCCATACCCTGCTGGGTGACTAGAGAATTGGGTAACGCCAGGGTTGCAATACAGCAGGGGGTTCCACAGTAGCCAAAGTATACAGCAGCAGAGAGGATGGGATGCTAGCCTTTCTGACTCTAGGTGCATTATAGCAATTAGCCTTGGACTGGAAAGGGTTAATTTTTTTTAAAAAATGAAAACACATTAATTTAAAAGAACCCCCTGCTAAGGGGTGAGACTGTATCCCCTCAAGGGGCAGTGGCTCTTGCCCCTCCAAGCGTGTGTGTATATTGGCTTCTTCATATTATCTACCACCGAGAGCAATCTATACCAAATGGAGGCAAGTACAAACACCCCGCCCCATCCCTCCACCTCTCTGGACTGCAATGTACAATAATTTAACACAGTTGCCTGTATTTTTATTTTGTAAATTCATTATAGTAACTATAAATTAACAGACAGTCGCTTTGTGTGTGTCGTCTCTACAGTAATCAGCATTGGAAGGAAGGGCAATTAAGCTGGGTTCTGCCCATTATCTTCCTTGTACTAGTAATACATGTGTTATAAACATGATGTTTATGAAGTTCAAAAGAAGGCAGGGGGAAATAAATGTGTAGCAGCCACGGACAAGAGAGCCACTTGGGACACTACAGAAGCCTGGCTTTTGAACATGGGAGACTGTGCCTAATCATTTTGCTTTCCTTTTGTTCATTCTTTCCCTTGTCATCTTTAACCCCTTCAGCAGTAGTTTTGGGTCCTGAAGGCAAAACAAGCTTTTTTTAAAAAAGTAACCCCCTCAGAAGGATGGGAGACCCAACTTCAGGTTTCTTGCTTGGCATCAGCACTGGAGTCAGGAGGAATACTGTACCATTAGGAAGAACTTTAACCTTAGTGCCAAGACAGCAGCTCAGTGCCCTAGTAAGCAAGATGTTTAGTACTTATTCACAGTTCTCATGCTTCCAACTGCTGCTGAAGACACATGGGCGAGCGGGGTTCTTTCGTCCTGTCCTTTAATACCATGGCTGAGTGAGTGCTGTTCTTCCTTGTCCTGCACAGCTGCAGAAGGATGATGTAGGTAGGGTAGTTATGTATGCTGGAGCATTGGGAATCCCTATATAAATTGAGTGGGCATCTAGAAGATAACTAGAACAGCAGCCTGCAAGCTTGAGATCTTATTACAACATACAAATGGGATCTGCAAGGAACTGGGGAGGACTAGATCTTGTTTCCCCCTGGCAGTCTCAATGTGGGGAAAATATGGCCCAGGTAAGTGGTAGTGGCTGCCAAAGGAGCTGGATGTATGATTCCCTCTGAGCCTGACTGTACCTGTGGGCCTACTTCTGGACAGCAGGAGAATGCTCCTTACCAAAGCTGATGCTAAGATCTAGTTGTAATGCCAAAGGATGAGATACAGCAACCCCAAGGAATAGTAGGTTATTTAGAGAAGGGCCCAGCCCCGAAACCACAGCAAGGCAAACAAGCTGATTCATGTATAGTTCACTCACCATCCCAGTACAGAAATATCTGCTGCTGTTGGTCCAACTGAAACATAACAGAAGATTCTGGCATGGACATTTGCAGGGGAGAGCGGCACTCCCTTCATGACATGTTTGTTTCATTTATGCAAATACGTTAATCAGGATAGGAGAGGAAACAGGGTGATGATTTGCCTTGGGATCAACTCTTTGCAAGTGTGTATACTGTTCCTACTCTTTTGTTGCAAATCTTAATGCTGGTTTTAGAAAGAGGAACATTAAATACAAGGAGTCAAAAGATGACTTTATTAGGTGTATATAGAACATGGTATATTGCTTCATGAACTAAAGGACTGGTCAGTTCTATCTTGAGTCTAGCCAACCATAAATAAAGCACACTGCAGGCTTAAGAGTCAAATCAGCTCATTTGGAACTAGTTTATAGTAAGTCCCACATGAAGGGCAGCGTTGGGCTTCTCCCTTGTGCAGCCAGAAATGGATCACAGTGCTGTTGTCCTCTTCACCTACATTGTGGGGAAGTAACAGAAGATTAGACAGCTGCTACATGGAAAAGTGTTGTACAAACATACACACTTGAGGAAAAGAGTGCTCTTCCCTTGATCCTAAAAGGGACACAACTAGACGTGGCCCTTTGAACCTGACGTTTATGTAGTGATAGCAATTTAATGAACTGGCAAAAGTGAAGGTTTTCAAATCAGTAAACAACCCACTGGAGATTTGCTGACAGCCCCACACTGCTGGCAAGCAAGACTTTGTTCTGGGTAATGATATGGATTTTCTGGGAAAATCTGAATCAGAAAATTTTCTGATTCAATTGTAAATAATGCTAGCAAAAGGACACTAATGCACCATGTACAAGCATGGAGTTTGTTCATAGAACATGATGGATTTGCAGCACAACAGCCCTGACTACAGCTACACTATACATATTGCTCCTTGGTTTTAGGTAACTAAGGAAGAAGCATTTATGAAGTGGAAAAGTGTCTTCAATATTACCAGTTATGTCCTGGCATATGGGTCTTATCAGAACATGGACCTGCACAGTACCCATAATCTAACTTTTGCGGAGATTACACTGCAGCTAATGTGCCTTTATGGCATTCAACAACCGTATTCCTTTTTCCAAAAGAAATCAGGCCCTAAAAGACCATTCTCTTCCTCAACCAACTGTAATATCACATGTAATCAGGTGATCAAAGGGAGACTGTCCCGCTGAAATGATGTAGCTGCCAATCACGTTTAGTGTCATGCAAGGCGGGATATAAATCTAAATAAATAAAAGACCTTATTTGCCTAAGGAGATACTTACAGATGCAGCCCACAATCCGCTTTTCATTGATGGAAGGGACGAGGTTGGGATCTTCCTTTGTCCCAGCACGGCTTTTGATTGGAAACATGTTGTATGGATCCTACAACAAGCAGGGAAGAATAAGATTGAAGAGCAATAGATGGGAAGCCAGACATCCAGAACAGGTACCCCACATTTTCAGTGATGTACTGCTCTTCCTCCCCACTCTCAGATTCTTAGCAGAAGATCAACTTTCACCTTCACACCTCAAATCTTCCTTCCTCTGAGCCATTTCACTCCAGCTACAGTACTTAATTGGTACTGTTCTATCACTAGTATTCCGGAGACATTGTTTCCAGGCCAATATAAAAACCTAAGCAAGTCACACCCTGGCTGGTCTCACTGCAATACAATAAGCTGCTGGATCTTCAGATTCTGAAGTAAACGGAGCAAGACAAGGCGACACTTCTGGGGGGTTGTTGTCATAGACTGTAAGAGTCAGTGGGCTACCATTTATTTAAAAATGTATACAGGAAAGTGCAGTGGAGTAGAGAGGAACTAGCTGACACTTTTCTTCCTTTTTACTTACCAGTCCTTGCTCCAAAGCTTTCAGAACTTTTCTCTCCAACCCTGTAGCTTGTTCTTCATCAGTTGGCATACCTGGGGCAGAGAAATGGGCAGTTTGAAATGGATGACTCTTCCCACTAGTCCCGTCCCACCCCACAAGATGAAAGATGAACTTATCCATGCCTCACATATTAAAATGATTTGAGCACCACTGAAGGATCTCAGCACCTAAACTAGTTCATTAACCCCCTCCCCTTCTGGGCATACAGACCCAATATAAAGGTAGACAAAGGGATATTTGTCAGTCTAATACACATTTTACTAATTCATCCATTCAAGATACAGAGCTCCAAGAAAGGCTTGCTAGTGCCTTTACCTTTCTACTCCAGAGAGGTATGCAGAGTAGGACTACAAGTCACTAGCACAGTTACAGCATGTCAAAACCATTAAAATCTTTTCTGTACAACACATTTTGGAAGAGAATATCTTAATATATTTATTCACTCAGGCATATATTTGTTTGCTCACAGCCTGGTTATTATATTTTCATTCTTCTACTAGTTTTAGATCTTTTCATGTGCTTTTGGAGTGTTTTAATCCTTGAAACATTGATTTAGGATGGTTTATTGTTCACTATCCTAGAAGTTGTGAGAGAAAGCATAAAAAATACATAAATTAATCAGCACCACCAGTACAATACTGGTATGCCTTATGCAGGGAGGCAACTATGAATACCTTAAAAATATTGTAAACTAGCCCAGGCTAAATACTAGTCTGAAAACTAATGGCAGGCTGTAATACAGTTCTGGATCTGAAGCTCTGAGTCCTAGTCTCACCCCAACCACAGATACACCACATGGCTGTAGACAGCTTTCTCAGCTTTAATTCCTCTACTACTTCTATATATATAAAAGAAAGTCCCCTCACTGTAAAATCAACACCCAGGCCAAACCACTGGACCTTGAAACACCAAATTCGGAGAGAGTGCTCCTACCATGGCGGAAATGCTCAATAAGAAGGGATTTTTAGAAATTTGACCCCTAAGAGGGTCAAAAGGGGTAAAATGTGCTCCCTCCATTGATTTCTATGCAGCTGCCAGGCTACTGTCTCCCTGTACCCCCCCACTCTCTGGTCACCTGCAGAGCTCAGTGTTCTGAGGTAAAAAACCACCAACAGTTACAGGGGACTGCAGAGAGCTAATGACAGTTGAGGAAATCAGGAGTGGCCAACCACCTGTGAGGTGAAGCAAAGCTGCTGGCCCAGCCTCTCTAATGGCTTCCAACACATTCCCCCCACCTCCTACACCTAACAGGTGGTTGTCTGTCAGGTGCAGCAATAGTTGCAGGGTGCTTAAAGCCATGAGGGAGCCTGCACCAGCAGTAACGCCTTAGTGATCCTGCCAGCCCCGCCTCCACAGTGGCTTCTAATACTCCTCCCCCCTCCTCCTCCTACACTGGACAGGCAGCTGCCTGTCAGGTGTAGGAGAGGAGGTGGGATGCTTACAGTTGTCAGGGAGGTTTGCTCAGCAGGATTGTGTTAGCCCTGCTGCTGGCCCAGCCTCCATGATGCCTTTAAATACAACCCCCCCCAACACCAGACAGGCCAGCGTCTGTCAGGTGTAGGAGCAGGACCAGGGTACTTTAATCCATCAGGAACGCTGCCCCAGCAGGATCACTTTAGCAGTGCTGCTGGCCCAGCTTAGCCACACTCCCACCCACAATGGAAATATACCCCAAATTTGTAGAATACTGGTTTCCTTTATTAGGTTATTTAACTTCTCACAATGTGGGTTCTAAAAAATTGGTTCATATGAACTTAATATCTGATTGCTCGGATGGTGTTTTGAATACGTAGTAATGTCCCACTTCTTAAATGTAACATAAACGAGAGGCAATTTTGTATATCAAATAAGAATGGCAGTTTACCTCACTGGGTTGTTAGTGAGGAAATACACTATTTGAGCCCTGGAATCACTCATCTCTTATATAGAGCATAGTCATCTGGTCCTAGACAAGAAATTCTGCATAGGTTGTAAGCTGACACAAGACTGCTAATTTGGAGATCACTTTTCTTATACCTAAATAGACTCCACACAAACAGAAAACAACAATCCTTAGTATAACTAAGTTCTCTCACCTCAAGATTTTGTCTTCTGAAACTGAAGACTACTCAATTTATGAGAATATCTGTAGAAGCTCATTGACTTCAGTGGCAAGTGTAGCAGTCAAAAGGAAGTAGAGTGAATGCATTCAAGCTTGGTTATTCAAGACTGAATAGCACCTTTCAATAATGTATAAACTCTAGCCTGTTTCAGAAAATAGCTGATCATTCTACACTCACTGCTACTGTAAGAGAAGTTCAATACAGCACCTCCTAGCAGGTGGCCTATCAAGTGAAAACTCAAGGACTATTGCCACTAAACCCTCCCCAACTTCTTTCCTCTTCCATTGTCAGGATCTGCTCTCCCATTTCATCATTGTCCAGATAATACACTTCCATTGAAGCCTCACACTATTTGTGTACTGTGGTAGCACATTACTGGTACAAAATAAATGATGAATAGTAGTAATAAGTAAGTCCAGTGGCTCTTGCAAGCACAGTACCAACACATAACTGTCATTATTATTCAAGGGACGCACTCCTGCCCACGAGGATTTCATCCATTCTCAATATGATTTACAAATCTTGTAGCACAATTACTACTATACAGGGTGGGGGGAGGAAGGAGTTATTTGCACCGCATAATCTCAATGCTGCATACGAACGAACATCATCCACCACAATGAAAATATACTGCACATAATAAATCATAAAGATAACTTGGTGATCCCTCTTACATGCTACCGTAAAGACAGTGGTATCGCTGCTTTATCACTTTACATCGCTGCTTCAACTTCCTTTACTTTAGGTCAGGCGGGGTTCAGTCTTGCTTCGTCTACTTTGCTTTCATAGATTCTACCTAGGACCCCCAGTTAAATCATCACACGTCTGTGTGAAGCGGTGCCTTTTGCCTCAAGAACATGAATAGGACGCTTTTGGATCGTGCCTAGTCCAGTAAAATTCCAGCATTCAGCGAGTATTTACGGGCTCTGCAAAAGCAGGCCAGCGGCCGCCGGCGGAATACAGCTTTCACCCACTCCCAGCCCTGCAAAACCAAAGGCCTGTTGCTACAGCCGCTGCTTCCAGGCCCAGCTACAGGATCTTTAGAAGACACTTAGGCGCTCACCTCCAGCCCCCATAGAACGAGAGGCCCCCGATAGACGCAGCGGACCGAGGCTAGCCGAGCCAAGGGAATTGCGGCCCGCGCTCAGACCCCGAAGGGCACCACACAGCCGAAGTAACCTTGACGCCATAGCAACCCCGAAGGAGCAAGAGGGAGAAGTACGAGGAAGCAGACGCCCCTAGCAGGACCTCTTCCGCTTTCCAGTCCGGAAGTTCCTGTCACCTGGTTCACACCCCTTCAACTTTCAAAGCGCGGACCTCAACATAGAGATAGAAAAGGATTTAAGAGTTACCCCCCCTCAGCCTGTACTTCCGGTGAAAGTTGAAAGCTACCCTTGACTATGATGCTTCTCCTTGGACTTCGAGGGGCGTCGCTGTATCCTTTGGCATACTGGGAGTGGGGACCCCCCCCCCCCAATAGCTTTCATTGGAGGCGAGAGTGGAGCACTAGTCCGACGAGCGAGATATGTGCGGACTAGCCCACATAGACTAGATTTTCATACCACCGCAGAGCGGAAGTGAGAAATTGGGGCGGCCACACTGCACCCCCCCAGGCTATATACGTCTCACGTGATCTCAACTACTCGCTATGAGGTCTTTTTTAGGGGAGGTGGGAAAAGGGTTTAGTGAAGGCGCTGGAAGAAGAATTGTTTTTGTGCTTGACGGGAAGAGCAATATGGCTGTCTACCGCTTCTCTGCTCCGGCTGCAATTCTGTGCCTGGGAATAAGCTCCATTAAGCCTCTCGGGATGTAGTTTAGATTAATCTAAACGTGTTTGGGACCCGGCTGCTTGGTGTGAAATTTACGCACGTGCACACTGTAAACATGCATCTTAGATTGACGTTGGTGTGTTGGTTTTGTGTGAAGTCTGCTAGTGTAAATTCGCTCCATGTATTTTAAGTGAAACCTTAAGGATAGTTAGGAACAAGCTAAAGAATCGAATGTTTCCATGATTTTTATTTGAACGTCATCCATAAACAGTATGGTGAGATGCCAGCCTCCAGGTCAGTGTTTCCTCTAAGTTAAATTAGCATGAGCTAGCTCAGTTGTTTAGCCTCTGGCTCACACATTTTTGTCTTAGCTCAGGAAGGATGGCTCCAGAGCAAACTAGTTTATGCAGTAGCCAAATTGCTCACTCACAACTTTAATGCCAGTAGTTCACAAAGTAGAATTTTTGCTCACACGCCTCCACAGTTTAGAGGAAGCATTGCTCCAGGTGGGACCTGGGGATCCCCTGGAATTACAGCTCATCTCCAAACTACAGTGATCAGTTCCCCTGGAGAACATGGCTGCTTTGGAAGGTGGACTCTATGGCATTATACCCTGTTGGGCCTGCTATCCTCCCCAGGGGGGAACCTGGCAAGTGTTGTTGTTGTTGTTCAGTCGCACAGTCGAATCCGACTCTTCGTGACCCCATGGACCACATCACGCCAGGCCCTCCTGTCTTCCGTCATGCTCCGGAGTTTGCTTAATTTCATGTTCGTTGCCTCGATAACACTGTCCAACCATCTAATCCTTTGCTGTCCCCCTCTCCTTTTTCCTTCAATCTTTCCCAGCATCAGGGTCTTCTGCAGTGAGTGCTCCCTTCTCATTTTGGTGGCCAAAGTATTTGAGCTTCAGCTTCAGTATCTGGCCTTCCAGGGAACAGTCATGGTTGATTTCTTTTAGGATTGACTGATTTGATCTCCTTGCAGCCCAGGGGACTCTCATGAGTCTTCTCCAGCACCATAATTCAAAAGAATCTATTCTTTGGCACGCGGCCTTCCTTATAGTCCAACTCTCGCAGCCATACAGTACTACTGGGAATACCATTGCTTTGACCATGCGGACTTTTGTTGGCAGGGTGATGTCTCTACTTTTTATTATACTGTCTAGGTTTGCCATCGCTTTCCTCCCAAGGAGCAGGCGTCTTTTAATTTCATGGCTGCAGTCACTGTCTGCAGTGATCTTGGATCCCAGGAATGTGAAGTCTGTCACTGCTTCCACGACTTCTCCTTCTATTTGCCAAGGAGTGATGGGGCTGGATGCCATGATCTTAGTTTTTTGATGTTGAGTTTCAAGCCAGTGTTTGTGCTCTCCTCTTTGACCTTCAGCAAGAGGCTCTTTAGGTCCACTTCACTTTCTGTCATTAGAGTGGTATCGTCTGCGTATCTGAGGTTGCTGATGTTTTCCCCAGCAATCTTAATTCCGGCTTGTGATTCATCCAGGCCAGCATTTCATCGTATGAAGTACTCTGCATATAAATTAAATAAAGGGACAATATGCATCCTTGTTGTATTCCTTTTCCTATGCTAAACCAATCAGTTGTTCCATATCCTGTTCTAACTGTCGCTTCTTGACCCTTATACAGGTTTCTCAAGAGACATGTGAGGTGGTCTGGTACTCCCATCTCTTTAAAGACTTGCCATAGTTTGTTGTGATCCACACAATCAAAGGCGTTAGCGTAGTCAATGAAGCAGAAATAGATCTTTTTCTGGTACTCTCTTGCTTTCTCCATAATCCAGCGAATGTTGGCAATTTGATCTCTAGTTCCTCTACCTCTTCGAAACCCAGCTTGTACTTCTGGCAAGTGACAACCCTAAATTGGTGATTCTGTCTAAAAACGCACAAAAATGTTACTTCCATAAGTATTTGTCTACAAATATTTCTTTGAAAGCATATTTTCCTGCTTTTTATCATGCAACACCTTAACTACCAGGATTTTAAAACTTAGACCTTCTCTCACTGTTCTGCTGCTTCCCTGTTTGCTGGGGTTAAGCAAGAGTCCAGCATCACCTTAAAAAAATTAAACTATTACACCCTAAGGTTTTGTGTGTCAGTACTCACTTCCTCAGATGCACAGGAGTGTCCATCCAAAGCAACTAAATTTATACTTAGAATTCAAATAACAGTAAAAGAGGGGAACATAGAGAAGTTACACTGAGAAGTCAGTGTAAAACTTGTAATCAACACATAACAAATCCCAGAAAGGAACGGGCAGAGAGAAAACATACAGATGTAGTACCTTCACTATTTTACACAACAACCCACTGTAAGGAACCTGATAATTTAGGCTTCCGGTTCTAATAAAGTGATTGGATCTTCCTTCAGAACTCTAAATATTGTTGGGATTCTGGTCTATTTAGAAGTGCTCCCTCTGACGACTAGTAGCACCTGTGTCCTGTGAGCAGTTTCTGATCCTGGGAGAATTCGACCTTGGGAGACTGTTTTACAGAATCTCTATGCCTTCTCCCTAGTTTTCCTCTCACAGTAGACACCAATTAACTGGATGGCCCTGACTGGCTATTCATTTGCTGGGTAGTGCACTGATTGCTTGTGGAGAAACGCCATTTTGTATATGTGTTTACGTTGGTGTGGGCTGGATAGGTGACCATCAAACTTGAGGTAGGGCTTGGCCTAGTCTCCTCCTCATTCCCCCCCTCCCCTCCTGTCTCCAACCAGTAGTCTGAGGGCAGCTGCCTAGAGAGGACAGGAAGTCCATCATTAGGGTTGCCACATCCGGGTTGGAAAACATCTGGATACTTTGGGGGTGGATCTGGGAGAGGGCATGGTTTGGGGAAGGGAGGGCCCTCGGCATGGTACAATGCCTTAGAGCCCACCCTTCATAGCAGCCATTTTCTCCAGGGGAGCTGATCTCTGTCAGCTGGAGATCAGTTGTAAAAGCGGGAGATCCCCAGGCCCCACCTGGAGGCTGGCAACCCTATCCATCAAGGTTGTGAGGAGATCTGCACCAGAATGCTGCAGGATGGAGAGCCAGTTCCTGGGCGGGAAACTGCTGTTTGATATTATGGAGTTTTGGGCGGGAAGCCAGTGGAGTCTGTGAGAAGTCTGAAGCCAGTCAGACAGTCGGTTGGAGTCTGCAGGAGACAGAGGCCGTTTTGGGAGACATGCTGATCCCACTTTTTCCAATGAAATGAAGTGATGTGCCTGCCCTGCAGACCATCGAGACAGAGCATGAGTGTAGAGAAGGGAGAGATGGAGCGGTTTTGTCACCTTTATTTTGATTCTTCAGTTCACTGTGGAGATGCCTGTAAATTGTTAAGAGTTTTCAAATAAATGCTTTAACTGTTGACGGTGAGAAGTCCTCTGTACTGCGCAGTTCCCCCAGCTGCTTGGACATGCTAGGGGTGGGTTGGGGACTCCCGGAGGAGAATGGGCAAAATGGTCAGTTGCCAACTCTCCAGGGGAGCCCAAAGATTACCAGGAAGCCCCAAGGCAGGTTCCTAGTAAGACCAGAGGGAGGTTAGGAGGCTGTCCCACCTAAGCAGAGACCAAGACAGAGACAGTGGTGGCAGCAATACCCAGAGGCAGTGGAGAAAAACTGCCCCTTCAGGTGCCAGGTCAGGCAGAGGAGGGGTGGGCAGAGCGGGGCCTGCCAGCTGGCGCAGGCCCAGTCCGCCACACAGCTTACAGATAAACACTTAAATAGCATACTCAAGATTGCTATAGCACAGACATTTTGATGCAATAATTCAGAGCAAGAGGTGTCGGTTATCAGAGACTGTTAAATAGACAAAATATTGCAAGAGTTTTTGCATGTTTTATTTAAAGTTTAAAAAACCTTTGTGTTTATGTCCTTTGTAAAGTTTATATCTCCACTACCTGGCATTACATTTTATGAAACAAATGGCCCGGCCCAACAAGGTCTAATTTATGTCAGATCTGGCCTTCGTAACAAATTAGTTCAACACCCCTGCTCTAAAGTTTTCAGATAGGCAGATTTTATGTAGTAATAGTGGGGTTTGTTTGTTTTATGTCTTTTTGCCTGTAACTGAGTGATTTATGCTTTGCAACCCTCCTTAAGTTAATAAATTTGATTTATATTGCAAGCCATGTCTAGACTCACTGACTTGAATGTAAGTGCACCCTGGAATGAACACTGAGAGTGAAAAGCTGACGCCTTGTAAAGACAGAGCTTTCACTCTCACAAAATAAAAGAAAGGGGAGAGTGTCCTGCTGCCTGACTCCCGGGGTGGCTGTTCTCAGGGCCCAGAATAGGAGGCTTGGTACCTTCTGCCCTTTGTGGGAAATCAGTTAAGCATCTCCACAGTTTCTTTTTCTTTCTATGCCCAGCATGCTGTTTGCACACTGTACGACCTTTGGGGCCCTGAGCAAATCCCTAGGCTTGGAGGAAACACTCCAGGCATTCCAATGAGGGTGATATAGTGCTGTTGCGTTATAGCGGTATACCGTTATAGTGCTA